TTGGTAATAGTTTTTTTGAGTCTCTCGCGGAGTTTTACCAAAAGTTATTCACCGAGATCTAACCGCAAAATGTTTTAGCGGGTTTCTTGGGCGGAATGAATCACATGACCAGAAATAGGATCAGTCGGCGAGAAGGGAGGACGTGTTCCCTATTGCTGCTTTTGTTCTCGATTTTTATTTTTTCCACAAATGTTCTTGATATTATTCTGGGACTCACTTGGTTCGACGGAGAATGAGATCAATGATTTCACGCCTAATGATTTCTCGTATAATTTTTCGATTCTTATACGAAACTTGTTTTATCAAGTTGGAGAAGATCTTTATGACTTCGGCAAATCATCGAGTTTCACTCTTAAATTTCTCAGAGATTTTCTAACCGCATGATTCCGACGAGAGATGTTGTATAGTCCTAGAGATTATTTCTCAGACGGTTTGGATCAGTCTTTAGCGTTAGATGGTTCTTATATTGTCGTTTGCTTTTGGGATGATTTTGACGAGGCGTCGCATTGTCCGAATATTTTTCTGCTTATTTTGCGAGAGTTTTCTTTATAGAAAGCGTTTTCTTGATGTGAAGAAAAATATTCGACAAAAAGAAAAAAGATGAGTTTCCTTTGAAGGATTGGGATGATCGACAATCCGGGTCGATTAAGGACCATGGTCGATTGCTGATGACTTGGATGTCTGATTTACGAAAATTTCTACGAGCGAGTCGGTTTTAAGACGATGTCAGCGTCTCTAGCTCCTTCTTTCTTCCAGGAAATGAGTACGCTCGAATGCGTGGGGATCGTTTCTCGGTTGTATGAGAGATTGGATCGGTATTAATTTCATTGACGATTTGGGATTGTCTATTCCTCGTTCTTCGTCTTTTGACTTATTCTCGTATGAATCGGTCTTCGACAAATTACCAACAAGAGTATCGGAGCGGGGAGAGGACTTAACCATTGGAGTTCATGTTCTTGTTTCTTCGTACTGCTGGTTTTACTTAAACGACTAGGTGCGCTTTGTATATCGAAAAATCAATCACGTATTTATGATTGGATGTTTTAAAATTTGCATGGCAGAGTTTCGTAAAACCGGATTGCGTTTAGAAATTTCAGATCTCTCGTATAGTTTAGGCAACTTTGTTGTTAAGTCAACCGTTGCCGTTTTAGACGATTGATTCGAACTTATACGAAAAAACAATTCTTTGCGGTTTTTGTCGTAAAATCTCGATGGAAATTCCGATTGAGACGAAACAACAATCAGCGCGATCAAGACTCGAGAAAGAAACTCAAGGATTGGATCAGCTCGACGAGGGCATGTTAAAGGATGGTTAGCTCACTGCACGGCGAGCTAACTCGAACGGTTCAGCTCGCCGTACGGCGATCTAACTTGGACGGTTAAGCTCGCCGTACGGCGAGCTGAACGATAAGAACCCTTGGGGCAAAGTCAGCACCTCTTGGGCGAGGTGAAAGGATGGTTAGCTCGCCGTCTGGCGAGCAAACTTCAATGGTTCAGCTCGCCGTACGGCGAGCAGAACGATAAGAACCCTTGGGGCAAAGTCAGCACCTCTTGGGCGAGGTGAAAGGATGGTTAGCTCGCCGTACGGCGATCTAACTTGGACGGTTAAGCTTGCCGTACGGCGAGCTGAACGATAAGAACCCTTGGGGCAAAGTCAGCACCTCTTGGGCGAGGTGAAAGGATGGTTAGCTCGTCGTACGGCGAGCTAACTTCAACGGTTCAACTCGCCGTACGGCGAGCTGAACGATAAGAACCCTTGGGGCAAAGTCAGCACCTCTTGGGCGAGGTGAAAGGATGGTTAGCTCGCCGTACGGCGAGCTAACTTCAACGGTTCAGCTCGCCGTACGGAGAGCTAATTTGGACGGTTCAGCTCTCCGTACGGCGAGCTGGACAATAAGAACCCTTGGGGCAAATTCAGCACCTCTTGGGCGAGGTGGAAGGCCGGTCAGCTCGCCGTACGGAGAGCTACCCGTGAAGCGATAGCACGCCGTATGGCGAGCTACCCGTGAAGCGATAGCTCTATGAAGCGATAGTTCTGGGAACCAAAATTCACCTACTGTCGATTTCCGTAAAATAAGGAAACTTAGGAAAACCCTAATTTTCCAGAGGAACCGGATCTCTGCGAAAGTCAACGACAAGTAAGCAAATAAATGCGGAAAAATATGAAAAACGTAATAAAACGAATTCATAAAGAAAGTCGATCTTATTTCCGATTCGCGTAAGAGAGTTGCGATCATTACAGGGTATTACAAAGGTTTTGGCCGCAGGGGCCATCAGCGAGTTACCAACATTAAATCCTAAATCTAGTCGAGTCGCAGCTCGATAACGAAAGACGGAAAAAGATAAGAAAAAGGGTTTGATTGATTTCGGACTGAACCTTATGGAAGGCTGCCTACGTACCCCTTTCGAGGATCAAGTCGAACGTGGTTCACTTGATTGAGCTGGAAAAGAGATCGAACTGCCTGGGCGAGTAAGTCTAGTAATTGAGCGCCAGTCATAGAAACCGAAAGGTTGTAAAAGTCTCAAATGAGAGCTCTGAAAATCGTTCCCTGCTTCTGTCCTGTGCCTCTTGCTTATATACTCCTTTCCTAGGCGGTTTAGTCTTTCCATTTCGTCCAGATTCGAGTTTATCGTGAATCTTCCATTAATCTTTATCTTTCCCTTTACCGCGAAAATCTTCTATTTATCCTCAAACTTGACATTTATCTTCTTTCTGCGAGTAAATCGTCAAAACGTCGTCGTATCTTCGGGTTGAACTTCGTTTAAAGTTGTGATTGGGCTTTTATCGCGTTTTAGGACTTTCCAAACCGTTTAGCGATACAAACGTTTTACGACTTTAGACGAGATCGTTTCCTGATACGATGCCATTTTAAGTAAGTTTCTCGAGTTAATCGTAAAGTTTGGCGATGTTCGATGTTTCGATTAATCGTCGCCGTTTTCTACGATTTACTCAAAGTTTTATTAAAAACGCATTTTTTTACCATTTCTCACGAAAAATCCCGAATAAATCGTATAGTTTAGGCAATGTTCGGTGTTTCGTTTAACCGTTGCCGTTTTATATGATTTCCTTGAGTTCTTTCAAGAAAACTAGACTTTATGGTTTCTATCGTAAAACTCGAACGATCATACGGATCAAGACGAAACGAGATACATTTCGATCGTGGTTCGGAACATGATCGTGCCGAAGGACGTATGCCTTGAATCGAGGACGTGGGAGATCGAGGCTCGGGATAATCATCTCGACGTACGAAGAGCCGAACCGGAACGGTTTTTCTCACCGTACGGCGAGCTAGTGCGGCCGAACCAGCTCGCGGTTAACGGCGGATGCAGCTTTTCGCGGTTTTGTACTTAACTCAGACAATCGTGTAATCGGCGTTTGTTTCGTTTTTTCCGAGATAACGATTTCCAAGTTTTCCGCGGATTTCCTTTGTTTGGAAACTTATTAGATTTTTATAAAATGAGTTATCGAGTTTTATAAAACGACTTCTCGAGTTTTATAAAACGACTTCTAGAGTTTTATAAAACGACTTCTTGAGTTTTATAAAATGATTTCTCGAGTTTTATAAAATGATTTCTCGAGTTTTATAAAACGACTTCTCGAGTTTTATAAAACAAATTCTCGAGTTTTATAAAACGACTTCTCGAGTTTTATAATACGACTTCTCGAGTTTTATAAAACGACTTCTCGAGTTTTATAAAACGATTTCTCAAGTTTTATAAAACGACTTCTCGAGTTTTATAAAACGACTTCTCGAGTTTTATAAAACAACTTCTCGAGTTTTATAAAACGACCTATTGATTTTATAAAACGTATTTTTATTTTTACAGAAACTTTTAACCATTGATTCCGTCGTGACCGATTTTGACACTAACAATATATAATTAAAAATGATGGAAGATAGAAAATTGTTATCAAATCTTTATTATTCAAAATGATTAATTTTCATATATTTGTTAACTATATTTTACAATTCCATAGCTTTTATTTAATGAAATAATAGAGAATATTCTTTTATACACTACCAATTAATTGCATAGTTAGTTTAATAAAAAGTATATTATATATTAAGATGAACCAACTTATTTTTCTAAGGATTCTAAGAATCAACGTAGTGATGACACGTGCCTACCAAAATATGTTGTAATGCTCCAAGATTAATATAAGGGATTACATATAATTTAAGTGATTTTAGATATATATTACTAAGTCTCATCAAAAATATGTTAAGAAAATATAAAGATAATTCCATTATCAAAAAAATAGTTCTTACTTAGAAATTAGGGCAATTCTCTCAAATATACATTTCAAGTTTCTATCACAAAATAAACCTCAAAAACTAAAACGACCCAAATAGTATTTTTATTTTGAAAATTTTAAGTTTTTTTTTTATATTTGAAATCCTATCCCTAAAATCCCACTCCTCAATTATAAAAAAAGTGGATGATTAGTTAACTTAAATGGTATAAGTGTCTATATACTTATTTTTGATAAAACATATAAATCTATTTTTGTCATTTTTATTTAAGGTCTATATTTCTGACAAAAATTCTTTTAGGTCTATCCTAAGGAAATTTCTTTATTAATTATTAATTTATAATTTTAATCCGACCATATATTCACATATAATTTTTTTTTAAATATTATCTTATTATTTTATCGATTGGTGTCAAATTTAGATCCAATCTAAATTGGGATCGATGAAATTTATTAATTTATAGAAATTCTTAATTATCGAGTATTAATTTATAAATATTTTACTTAATGGTTTACGTCAAGATTTTAAAATCGAAATGTCAACAAAAGTCAAAAAAATATATGAAAGTTTAAGATGTATTTTGCTTTGATAGTTGGGGCATTGTGGTTTATTTTGGAGAGTTCAAGATATAAATGGCAATTTCCCAAACTAAAATACGTGATCGGAAACGACGTCGCCTCGTCATTGCATTACCTGGTTTTTTTTTTTTTTGATCAATACATTACCGGCTTCTCTCCTCAAAGTCTAAACCTTCTCCAACTGCCACTAGCGGAGCTCCCAATGCTGTGAGTTCTCATCCCCAAATCCTTTTCTTCGTTCTGCAACAAAAACGCCTTTTAATTAATCAACAAATCACCATCCATCGTTTTAAGGAGCATTCATCGACGATTCGTAAAGTTTAATATCCCATAACGGTCGTGATCCTCTTGTTTCTCTGATTCTCTTATTGAGCCTCTCACTCCCTCCAACATGGAGATTCCACTCGCATTTTATCAAAGCTTAAGGTTAGAAGATAACCCGAGCAAAGACTCCTCTAATTCCAATCCCAGTGTTTTCAATTTCCCGCGGTTTTCTAGATACGATTTCTCGCTCAGTCGAAGAAGATGGAACAACCCATTTGCCAAAATCACTTGTTCTTCTCTAGTTCAAGGGCTGAAACCAAAGCCCAAGCTGAAACCTGAACCAATTAGAGAAATCGATCAAGGATCCAAAGATCCGGTTTTTGATGATACCCAGATCAGGAAATCTGCTGTCGCGATCTGTAGTCAGATCGAAAAGTTCGTCTTGTGTAATAGGTTAAGGGAAGCATTTGAATTGTTTGAGATTTTGGAGATTAGAGGTAGTGTTCGTGTTGGGATTAGTACGTACGATGCATTGGTGAAAGCTTGTATTCGTCTGAAATCGATTCGGTGTGTGAAAAGGGTTTACGAGTATATGATAAGTAATGGGTTTGAGCCGGAGCAATACATGATGAACAGAATCCTGATGATGCATGTGAAATGTGGGATGATTATCGACGCACGTAGGTTGTTCGACGAAATGCCCGAGAGAAACTTGTTCTCTTACAACTCCATTATCTCTGGGTTTGTTAACTTCGGTAACTATTTAGAAGCTTTTCAACTGTTTAAGATGATGTGGGAAGAGCTTTCCGATAGTGAGACTCACACGTTCGCTGTGATGTTACGTGCATCGGCTGGTTTAGGGTCTATTGAAGTGGGGAAACAGTTACATGTCTGTGCGTTGAAGTTAGGAGTAGTTGATAACACGTTTGTCTCGTGTGGGTTGATCGATATGTATAGCAAGTGTGGGGATGTTGAAGATGCTCGATGTGTTTTTGATGATATGCGTCAGAAGACCACAGTTGCTTGGAATAACATTATAGCAGGTTATGCGCTCCATGGTTACAGCGAGGAAGCCATGTCTTTGTTGTATGATATGCAAGACTCCGGTGCATCTCTTGATCAGTTCACACTTTCAATAATGATAAGAATTTCTACAAGGCTTGCGAAGGTTGAGCTTACTAAGCAAGCCCATGCTACACTGATTCGTAAAGGGTTTGAGTCGGAGATCGTGGCGAACACGGCTCTTGTGGATTTTTATAGCAAATGGGGTAGAATAGATACTGCTAGATATGTATTTGATAAGTTGCCGAGGAAAAATATAATCTGCTGGAACGCTTTGATGGGTGGATATGCGAATCATGGTCGAGGAGCAGATGCAGTCAACTTGTTTGAGAAGATGCTTGCAGCAAAAATCACTCCAAACCACGTCACATTCCTTGCTGTTCTATCAGCTTGCGCTTACTCAGGGTTTTCTGAACGAGGGTGGGAAATTTTTCTATCGATGAGTGAGGTTCACGGGATCAAACCAAGGGCGATGCACTATGCTTGCATGATAGAGATTTTGGGTAGAGACGGTTTATTAGATGAAGCCATTGCTTTCATCAGAAGAGCTCCTTTAAAACCGACGGTTAACATGTGGGCAGCGCTCTTGAATGCATGTAGGATGCATGGGAACTTAGAGCTCGGAAGAGTGGTCGCTGAGAAACTCTATGCAATGGAACCTGAGAAGCTCGGAAACTACGTTGTGATGTATAATGTGTACAACAGTATGGGAAAAACTGCAGAAGCTGCAGGAGTTTTGGATACGTTGGAGAGTAAAGGTTTGAGAATGATGCCGGCTTGTACTTGGGTTGAGGTTGGTGATCAGACTCATAGTTTTCTTTCAGGAGACAAGTGTGATTCTTACAATGACACAGTGAAAAAGTAACTTTTTGTGACGTTAGTGTGTCTTCTATGTCTTTTTGTTTACTTCATTACCTTAAAATGTCGGAATCTACATGATGAAACAGGAAAATATACCAAAAAGTTGATGAACTGATGGAAGAAGTTTCCAAGTATGGGTACTCGGTGGAGGAGACAAACCTTCTATTGGACGTTGATGTAAAAGAAGAGCGAAATGTAGTGAGATATCACAGCGAGAAGCTTGCGATAGCTTATGGATTGGTGAATACGCCGGAATGGAATGCATTGCAGATAACTCAGAACCATAGGATATGCAAAGACTGTCACAAGGTGATTGAGTTTGTATCTTTGATTACAGGAAGAGAGATTGTAGTGAGAGACGCTAGCAGGTTCCATCATTTCAAAGAAGGGAAGTGTTCTTGTGGAGGATATTGGTGAATGAGGATGGGGCCTAGGAAGTAGAAACAGAGGTCCATTTTCGTAGTGATAGGTTAAGCAAGGGCGTTGTTTTCTTTTCGTAATTTGCGCTAAAGATATATGTATAACAGAGGGGAAATAGTGTGATCATGTACCGGTTTAGATGCTTGTTTCTGATTTTTTATCAATAAAGGTAAGAGCTTTGTTATTACTGCCTATAGCACAAAAGACTGATGTATGTTGAATCTTGATTATTGAGTGATTAATTGCAAATAAACCCAAACCCGAAAAATGAAGTTTTGAGTCACCAGATTTGTTTAAATATTTCACGAAACCTGACAATTAATTTGGATATTTCTTATGCAATTAGATTTAGAGAATTTCTGATGGAGTTTCATTTTCTACTTTTTGCTTTATTTTCTATTCTCTTAGATTTACGAAAACACTTATGTAGTTTTATGATTTGTGCTAGAGCAATTAGGATCGAGAGGTCGCGTAAATTGTTTCCCTGAAACGAAGTGTTTTTCATTACGTTGCTTTGTGAAGTGTTGACCTTCCGAGATTCGTACAGCTTCAGGAGCTCTGGTACGATTGTTTTCTTACACGTCGGTTTTTGTAGGCAACTTGCTTCGGAAATATAGTGAATCATGAGAATACAGAACTTAGCCGATTTTCGACAAGTCTGCATTATCCGTTGAACATATTGTCTTGGCTTGAAGGTTGTATTCAGCCACATAGCCAAGGTCGTATTTGGTAGAGGATTAGACCACGACACTTTCGTGGTATCGACAAGGTCGAGTCGGTTTGTAAACTTGTCACTGAAGTGAAGCGTGATCGGATGAGGGCCAAGTAGCGTTTGTCGAGCTTGATAAGCCAAGTATGCCCGTGGTTATAGAAAATGTTTTTCCGTCTTAGGTTCGATTTATAAGACGAAAGTTTCGTATAATCTTTCCTTTGTTCGCATGGAAGTTATTTCTCTTTTTTTAACCGAGGGAGACAGAGCCCAAGAAGCTCGATGCAGAGCCCAAGAAGCTCGATGCAGAGCCCGTGCGGAGTCACTTGCGGGGTGGCTTCATTCCTGGATGTAATCCGGAGGAATGAAATCTTTCGAGTCGTGGCGCGAGGAAGCAAAGTTTAGATTGGTCGCTCAGTGTCGGACCGTATAGCTTGGTTTTCGCTATAAGGAAAGTACTTTTCGCAAAACCTGTTACGTTTACTTCCGAAAGTTACTTCGTTATGACATGATCCTGACTATACGAAAGATTTCTCGCGTAAGTAACGGGCGATGAATTTAGTAAATCGGCACGACGCATTGGGTTAACAATGTTTCCGCAGATTTTTCGAGAAACCTTTCTGCATGGTTTTTTAGAGTCACTCACGGAGTTTTACCAAAGGTTTTTTCACCGAAAGCATGTGGGTGTCGAAATCCACTCACTGTCAAATAAATCGTAAAAAAGGAAACTTCGGGAAAACCCTAAGTTTCCAGAGGAACCGGCTATCTGCAGAGCCGCACAATGAAAAATAAGAAAACGATAACTTAGAATTTGAATGAAAATAAACGAAATAGAGAGCAAAGAGGTTCTTATTCCGAATCTGCGTAGAACTGGTACAAAAGAGTAGCCGAAAAGCTTAAGAACGAAAACCCTAATTGAGACGCAGCTCGCTAACAGAAAAACGGAAATATTCCTAAATGCCCTAGACCTCCTATTTATATACTCCTCGCCTTGGCTATCCGATCTTTCCATTTCGCCCAGATTTGACTAAATCGGGAATTTTTCATTCTTCTCGATCCTTCCTTTTCTTCCGCGGAAATCTTCTATTTCTCTTCAAACCTTCCTTTTATCTTTACACTTGACTTTTATTTTCCTTCTGCGAGTAAACCGTCAAAACGTTATCAAATCTGCGGGTTAGATTCCGTTGAAATCGCGAGATGGGTTTTTATCGCGTTTTAGGTCCTTCCGGGCCGTTTTGCGATAAAAACCGTTTTCCGACTTTTTACGGGATCGTTTCCTGATCTGACGTCGTTTTTAATAAATTTCTCGAGTTAA